CGGGCCACCTTCCTTTTTTTGATTGTACACAGCACCTATTCCTGCTGGTGGCACTATACTCAGTAGATGATGACCTAAAGCTGAGCTCCTGGCGTCCTTCAATGATTGAAAGAGAGACACCTGTTCAGCTTCAAACTTCCTGTAGTGCGATGCCAATGCTGCCTCTGCAGCATTGAGGTCACAATACATAAAGGGGAGTTGTTCTGTAGTTCAGCAAGGGAGAACTTAGGCAGGGCTGACAACACAGCTTGAGATTTGACTGTTGTCAGCTGACTACAGGAAATTAGGAGCTCCCTGGATTTCCGGCAAGTCCTGTACTTAAAGTGGACTGTGCAGGTATTGTAGGGATGCACTGAACATTCTTTATTTAGCCCAGATATATACTTTAGGGACGCAGAATAGCTGTTGTGGATTCCGTTATGCTCCAAGTTTACGGAGATGTTTAGGTCGGCTTGGGACACTTCCATGTAGAACACATAGAGGACTATCCAAACACTTCCAGAATAGAATGCAGCAATCCCTGACCTGCCTTACGTTTCACTTTGTATTGCACTCTTTGTCTACAGTCCACCCAGATCAGGGGCCCCGCAGATGCTTAGCAGGCGGCTTTAAATGGGGGCCCCTTCATGTCACCGCACAGAACCAATGCTGGTGAAGCTTCTCTGTGCCCCTCCCCCCCATTCCTCCAAGGGGTTAATCCCTCCGAACATTACTCGGCAGGAGCACTTAGGAATGTACCTGGATATTTTTAGATCCTGAAGCCGGCAATTGAAAAGATGATTTATTAGTTGCAGATTTTCTTGCTCCGTCTTATAAACAGTCTCCTCCAGATCCTGAATGTCTTTCCTGTAAATTGCGACCTGGAGAGGACGAGAAATGCGAATAATAAAAAACAAAACGTTAGGACGCAGAGTCCCACATGGAAGGCCTTTTAAGGAGAACAGGTTCAATGTTGGTGGAAGATCGTCGCCATGATGTACTGCCGATCTCCGGGAAAGCAGCTCACTGCGCGGAGGAATGACACCGATGGGAGACGTTTTACCTGCCAAAGGAGATGTATTTCTGTCCATTCTGACCTGAGATTTACACGGCTCTGCCACACAGCACAGCCACCCAGACCTGACTTTTCTCTGATAAACAACAGAACCTGGTCACCTCCCCGCCCCCAGCTTGTGAATGAACAGTAAAGGAGCATCAACAGACGCTCTGTCTGTTCTCTCCTCCTGTCAGCATGTTACTTGTCAGGACATTATGAATACAGGTCACCTGAAGAATATACTATGTATATATATTATATAACTATATGTGTGTGTGGGTGTCCATGTCCGAGCAGGTGCACCCAAGCCTTACGTCACCAAGTGCAATGCAAAGCGTGGGATGCCGCGGTGTAAAGCACGCAGCCACTGGACTCTAGAGAAGTGGAGACGTGTTCTCTGGAGTGACCAATCACGCGTCTCTGTCTGGCAATCCGATGGACCTGTCTGGGTTTTGCAGTTGCCAGGAGAACGGTACTTGCCTGACTGCATTGTGCCAAGTGTAAAGTTTGGTGGAGGGGGATTAAGGCGGAGTAGGGTTGCCACCTGTCCAGGATTCATCTGGACAGTCCGGGTTTTGAATGCTGTGTTCAGGTTTTATGGCAGCAGAAACCCGGACACAAGATGTCAGGCATACGGGGGCAACCAAAATTAACATAGGGGCTACTAGAGAGTTCGGGTTTTGATTGAAGAAAAGGTGGCAACCCTAGGGCGGAGCCAACCCAATACTGAACCATACGGACTAAGACTGGGATGCCATTAAAGTTCATGTGCGTGTACAGGCCGGCGTCCCAATACTTTGGGCAATATAGTGTGTGTGTGTGTGTGTGTGTGTGTGCGCGCGCTCGTGTGTCAGAACCAAGGACGGGTTCCCAGTGACCTATAGGCCATGTCAGACACATAGATGTCACACAGGAAGCCCCGAGTTACCTCTTTCTTCATCCACTCATTCTCTTGGATTTCTTTCTGGCTTTCCAAGTCAATATACTTCACTGCATCCTAGAAAAAGATTGAAAACAATCATTTTATCGTCGTATCTCCTGTTCTCTGAGTAAGATCCTTTCGGAGAAACCAGTGGTATAAATCCCAGTGCCTGCGCGGTTCCTGGCTGGGCTCACAAATGTCTGACACAGATCAGTCCCTGCTGCAGTCTTTGCTACAGAGTTACATTGTTGCAGCCTGATCTCTGGGGGAGGGGAGACTGAGGAAATGTTTATTCTTGACTGCAGCAGACTGATGACATCATCTCAGCCTAGGCAAAGTCACTGGACCGGAGCTCAAGGATGGAATTATAATGATAAAAGGTGAAGCTTTTCATAAGCAATTGGCTAAGTAGCCTCGGATGGAGGGGGATGGGCTTTTATGAGAACATTTTCCCTTTGCCATTTCTCTTTAACCTTTATGATGTGAGGTGTAGACAACTTTGGCACTCCAGCTATGGTGAAACTGCAATTCCTATCATGCCTCTGGTTGTCAGAGCCTGGAAATGTCACATGGGACTTGCAGTTCTGCAACAGCGGGAGGGCCTAATGACTTCCTTGTTCTGCCATTACTACATTGTGGAATGGGTCATGAAATCATCACAAGGCCTTGACGTACCACTGTGGGGATATGAACTGTCAGTCTTCCCAATTGGTGAGCTGAATGGCAGTTGACTGCACTACCCTATCACCTCTTCTGTTGTTAATCTACCCCACCCTTCACATCAAAGGACCAATAGGGAGGTACAAGAAGCAGGAAGGGGCGGGGCCAGACCTGACTTTTACAGGAAAATAAAGCTTTGCATATAACTTCAGCTGTCTATCTCTCTGGGTCTTCTGATCACTGAGACGTAGTTGTTGCTGATGGTTGTCTCTGCTGATGTATTTGTCCATCATACGCTGGAAGTGCTCAGTTTGGCCCGATGAAAGGTTTACATTAAAGTGACTTCAGTCACTTTAGAAATAAAAGAGCTGAAAGCAGAATAAACTGCACAGACATTGCAGCCCCGCCTCTCATTCACTGCTGCTTTGACCAGGACCGGATTTATTCTCCCTGCTGCCCCAAGGCCAGGTTCCGCAATGCGCCCGCCCCCCCATGGAGAATGCCAACCAGATAGCGGGGGTGGCAGGGTTGGTTTGAATTTTTTTATTGTTTCTTTCTTCTTCTTTTTTACTTTTTTAAATTTTTATTTATCTTGTCACCTTTTATTTTTTTATAATTATTTATCTTATTATTTTTTACTTTTTATTTCTTTATACTTTTATTATTATTACTTATTATTTTTTTTATTTATGTCATTTTTTTAATCCATTTTTTTTCACTTAACTTTATTGCTATCACACAGGAGCTAACAAGCACCTGTGTGATAGCATTTGGAGGTGACAGGTTCTCTTTATTGACTCTGTCACCTCCAATACAGGAGTTCTAGCACAGTACTGTGCTGGAACTCCTGTTACAGGTGAGAGAGGAAGAGCGCAGCTCTCCCCTCTCCCTGTATACACGGAGCGGCAGGGCTACTTTTAACCCTGCCGCTCTGCTCACCGCTCTCCATACTGAAGACGCGGCGGCCAGCGAGGAGAGAACGGAGACGGGAGGACGGAGCCAGCATAGAGAGAGGTAGGTGCGGGGGAGGGGCGGGGAGAGGAAGGACAGGCTGCAGTCTAATTGCAAGTGATCTTGGCGACATCACCGAGATCACTTGTAAACAAACAAGTGGCCTCCTCGTTCTACATTTAGCCCGGCTTGTGCAAAGCAGGGCTACATGTAGAAAACAAATTACCGGGAGACTTCAAACCTTCTCCGTGCCGCCCCGAGGCCGGGCCTCGTCGGGAGTCCAGCCCTGGCTATGACCAAATGCCATGCTGTTCTGTACAGACAAGTGCTGAAGCTTGCCTTCCCCTCATATTCCTATTCGCCCATCACTATGATGGGCTCCCACGTTGGCCAATAGGAATGTAAGTGAAGCGGGAGGGGTTGGGCTGGTTCCATCACCTCAAGGAAGTGTCAGAGTGGCTCCAGGTCTGGTGTCTGCACTCTCTGCAGCTCTTTACTTCTCACTCGTCACTTTATTGTCCTTTTAGGACAGGGATGGCCAAACTGCGGCCCTCCAGCTGTGGTGGAACTACGAATCCCATGAGGCTTTGCAAGATTCTCACAGCCACAGACATGACTCCCGGAGAGAGATGCTTCATGGGATTTGTAGTTTCACCACAGATGGAGGGCCGGAGTTTGGCCACCCCTGTCTTAGGGGCTTTGTTGGCTCCTAAAGAACTACAATGACATGCCATATATACCTGTGTGGCCATCTCCCTGGTCAGATCCATCTTCTTCTCCGTCTCCAGGTCTATCTTTTCTTTCGTCATCTCCAGGCTTCTTCTGAAATGTTCTGGATGGAAAAAGAAAGACAGCAAAAGGGGATTTTATGCACATGGAAGGAAATAAAAACTTGTATTGATCCTCTCCAAGCCAGGGCAGTCCATATAACGAGGCAGCATGAGTGGGTACCCCTAATTGTCCATAGGCAACGCTTTAAAAGCCTTTACAGGTCATCACTTTATAGTTAACTGAGAGTATTTGCCAGAGGATTATTGCTTTCACTCTGGCACACGTAGCGATACCTAACATGTGTGATGCAATGGTCATTTTTCTAAGTAGGCGCACCCAATGGGTGTTTGCGTTAGTATGCAGGTGTTCATGTGGATGGGGGACTTGGTGTTTTATGTTAATTCATATTATTTAACTTTACCTAACCTCATTGCTATCACATAGTGGGGCTTACAAGGGAGGGGTTATGTGCTTAAAGTGACAGGCTTTTTATTTGTGTGCCTAGAGGCAGCAGCATAACCCTACATCTGAGAATTCTTCAGAGCTGTGTCCCTCAATGGACAATAGGGAAACGTATATATTTCCTATGCTCCTCAGCTCCATCTAGTGGCCATAAAGCAGCATTACATAACAATACATATAATATATAAAAGAAATATATCAATAGCGTTCGATTTTGTCATTACTCGCACATAATGAACATTCGCAGCTATTAGCTGGGCGAAGGGCCCTGTGAATTATTAATAGTCCCCTTTATTGAGGAGAAGCCACTGCTGGAAGAATTTTCTGAATCCAACCTTCCTGGGAGTTATGGATCTCTGGTCTCTGGGCTGAGATTCCTTCGACCGGGCCGCACAACAGAAAATGATACAGTTGTGATGTAGGGGCCAATGGAAACAAAAACTCCAGGAGACCAGAAATCCAAAACCAAGATGGCTGGATTTAGAAGATTCTTCCAGCGGCAGCTTCTCCCCAATACTGCGGTCCAGACATTAGGAGAGGAGACTGAGGTTGGCACCATTTTTTGGGGAAAAACATACCAACCTTATCATCTTTCAGATTGTAAGCCCTCAGGGGCAGGGCCCTCCTTACCATCTTGTCTTGATTTGTATTGTGATTGTAATGTCTTCCTTATATTGTAAAGCGCTGCGCAAACGGTTGGCGCTCTATAAATACTATGTAATAATAATATTAGGAGAGGTGAGTATTAGACACCTTTATATATGTGGACTCATCTGGAACTGACCGTTTATCTCCGTGAAGTTCTGCGTCATGTGCTTGATTTCCTCTTGCAGGAGATGAATCTGTTTGGCGTGCTCTGGGCTCCCCACGTTCTTATATTCCAGCCAGTAGTCCCTCTCAGTTTTCGCCTCTGTGATCTGCTTCTCCAGTTGCAATATTTCGCTGCGGATCTCTGAAAAGCAAATATTGAATATAGGAAAAGTATACAGAGACGCGCTTTCCTTTCCATGTGGAGACACGTGTCTGAGCTGTGACCCGAGAACACCCCAGAACGTTTCCGCTACAAGTTCACCACCGGCAAGGAACAATCAAGCTGGGTATAGACATATGAAATTGTAAAGTGATGTGCACAGGCCTGGCGCTATATAAATCCTGTATTATAATAATAATAATAATAATAGGTGTTGCAATTTTGCAATGAGTTTTTCCCATCAATTTTCAGTTAAAAGAGAACTATGGGGTCAGTGTTTTTACTCATAGTTCTCTTTAGGGTCACGGGAGGATCTATATACTAGCGTCCTCCCCTGACCCAAAGCTCAGTATATAGGGAGCTACAGCTTGCGGTATACTGAGACCGCCGCAGCCGGGACGGATCCCGACATTACTGTCGAGAGCCACCCAGCTGCGTGAGTGACAGCTGGCTCTGCCTATCTAGAGGTAGAGCCAGCTGTGCCCGCCCCCTCCCTGTCTGTTCCTCCACTCAGCGCTGGAGGATCAGAGAGGGGAGGGGGGAATGCCTGCAGGGAGCCATGAGTGACAGTCACCAGTCTCTGCAGGGATAGATCAAGAAGTGAGCGAGCGATGGTATGTGTTCGCTCACTTCCCGATCTATTGAGCCGACCTGTGACAGTCTCATTGTCACACGTCGGCTCGAACTATGAGGTGAGTGATTTTCAGTCACCTCATAGTTCTCCTTTAAAGGAGTTGTAAAGTCCCAGCATATCCTCTCCTGTTATAACATCAGCATTGTAATAGGAATACATTGTATTATCCGAAACATCTCTACTATCAAAACTTACATGAAAAAAATCCCTTTTATGTAGTCAGCACTGCCTTCCGTCTGTCCATCACTTCCAACAACGTCCTGGATTCCCAGTGTGCTTTGCATCTCTTTCCCTGCTGAGTGATGTGATGCAGTCTTAATTTCTCAGGACTACATATCCCATCATGCATTGCTTCCAGCAAGCAATGATAATGTTACAGTGTTCAGACACTGAGTTGTAGTTCAGAAGGCAGGCTCTGTGAGAGTGGTGACACCAGGAAGCGAACATTCACAGGGCTGAGTGACATGGTGTCAGTGCATTGAGGAAGTACATCCTTTGGGGATCATCAATAAATAAGTTTACAAACTTCTAGATGGATCTGGTTATTAGGAGCGGGGAGAGAACTTATGGAAATTGAAAAGAGCAATACAGATTTATTTGTATTTTTTGGCCATAGATCCCCTTTAAAAAGATCTCCTGGAGTGGAAACATCTGCAGCAGTTTATCATCCAACTGTTTCCGCCAAAAGGCATTTTTTCCACCTCAATCTCAATCATTTAGTCTCCTGAGACTGGAAAACAATCAGAACTGCAGCTGGCAGAGTTTAAACCACCATACATCATTTTTTATTCTTTTAAGCCACTCTTGTGATCTAGACACTCCTCCCAGACTAAACGGCTAGGTAAGCCATCTTACTTCTCTCCTTTGCAGTTAAAGTAGACCCTTGGGTAACCGAGTCTGTAGGAATTCTGGTCATGTCATAAACAGAAACAGTATACATCTTCACAAAAGCTCCAACTTGTATGACTAAGAAGCCCTTTCTGAGCTCCAGTGCATCTCGATATATATATATAATTAGGGATGCGCCGATACTTTTCGAGTACCAGTGCGGATACTTGGCATTTTCATGAGAACTACCAGGGTTGCAGCGGTTGTAGCTGGGACCTGGATGTTTGTGGGTTAAGCAGTTTTAAAAATTGTACAAAAATGTAAAAAATATCTCAGTTAAAGACTGGAACTCCCTCCCATATCCGCCATGCGTCCAGTCTCAGTTCCCTGGCCTTGCTGTGATATTCTAGATACGAGTTCCTGGTTGATCCACACTCTTTGTTCCTCCAGGACTAGCAGACTTGCAGCGAGGAGAAGGGACGGGGGCGGTTTGGGGCTTCGGGGAGATAAATGTTAAGTAGACTACGGCTGTGCTGAGAGAAAAGACAAATATAAAAATAACCTTATTCCCCGGCTAAGATGAATGGGAACACTGCAGAAGAGAGAGCAGACTGCAGAGTGACGCTGTCATGAATTCTAAACACTTCCAACAGCAGGCAGCAATGTGTCTGAAATAAATTCCCAGAGATATTTTAAAGGGTCCATGCACCTAAAAGTGGGATATTAAGTTACAGGTGGCGTCTGGTGGGCTAGGAGCCCTGCAAGCTTTTCGAGGATTCCAGTGTGGTATCTCCCTGTCGTTGTTCCTGTTCTCTTAGATGCAGCGGTCGGCAACCTGTGGTAAAACTACAAATCCCATAATGCATCTGCAATGCATGGGAGTCATACCTGTGGCTGTCAGAGTCTTGCAATGCCTTATGTCAGGGCTCAAAATTTCCACTCGCCCCCTCGCAATTGGCGAGTGAAAATTGCGTGGGGGGGGAGTGTAAATTTATCGGGGGGCACCGCCGGCAGGACGCGGGGGGGAAACTGCCACAGCTTCAGCAGCGGCGATCACCTCTTCGGTTCTCCCCCCCTATTCTTCAGCCCTTCTATAGCTGCAGCGGCCGAGGAGTCCAGGGGTGTGGAACTCGTATCGCCTGACGCCTAGGACATGCAGTTCCAGGTGCTGGGCAGGTAGTTTTTTCTTCGGGCAAGCAGGGCTAAATGTAGAGTGGGGAGCCGTCGCTCGTTTTGTACAGCTGTTACAAGTGATCAGCTACCCAGATCACGTGTAACAGCCTGTTTGTCCCACCTCCTGTGGGCAGCGACACTATGTAAAATATAGCGGACCATTGCTTGCTATATACTCAGAGCGCCACAGCCTGGACAGATCCCCACAATACACTACAGAACTGTCATGTAATTGACCTAACTTTGCTGACCAATGAGAAGCGCTTCTTTGCACGGTTAAAATACGGTTTGGGTTAAAATAATTTTTTTGTATCGGGACATGTAGATTGTGCCCCCGCTTTAGTCCTTGGACAAGTAGTTTTTAAAAAAATGTCCACAGCCCTGCCAGGAGAAGAGAAGGGAGAATCAGTTCAGCTGTCTGTCCGTCACCTGCAGTCTTTCTCTGCCCACGTTAGCTGCCATAGGCTGGGAGGAAGACTGCAGAGCTGTGATTGGCAGGACAGCGCGGTACCTGAAGCGAGGCTTTACCTGAATCAGGTCAGCCATGTGCACTGTAAGTCCTTGTTATTTCTGCCTTAAACCGCTGACCTCTGCACTGATCTCTGTACTCTGCGTCACACTGCTGGCCTTTGTATTCGGCATTACACCACTGACCTCTGTACTGTGCGTTGTTACTGATCTCTGTACTCTGCGTCACACCACTGACCTGGCGGAGTTAAGTCCGGGGCAGGGTAGGGTTTAGGTGGGGCAACTGGTGGCGAGTAACTTTTAAGGCCTGGCTAGTAGGTCAGGACTTGAAATTTTGAGCACTTGTATTTCCACAACAGCTGGAGTGCCGAGGTTGCCCACCCCTATCTTAGAGTCTTACTCCTACAGTGTCCATGTAGGGGGCGGCAGACTGAACTACACTGAACAGCGGAGGACGCAGACATCTGACATACCTGGAAGTGTCGCCTGCTGGAGGCTGTAGCTCCCGAAGACAGCAAAGTAAGAAATCACCAACCACCACAGAGATGATTATTAAGGCTGGGTTCACACCTAGGCGCATCGAATATGCGCGTTTGTTGCGCGTTCGTTTCGTGCTGCGCGTTTTTACCGCGGTAAAAAACGCGCAACAAACGCGCGTTTTCGAGGGCTCCCTGGCTGTATCCCAATGGATACGCGCGGCAAATACGCCCCAAAGAAGCTCCTGTACTTCTTTGGGCGTAGGGCGTTTTGTACCGCGCTCATACGAACTGTAATACGCCCAGGTGTGGACCATACCCATAGGAAATAATGGGATTTCGGTGTTTGAGCGTTTTGTAGAGCGTAGGAAAGCGCTACAAAACGCCCAGGTGTGAACGGGGCCTAAGGGCTATTCACACCATGTCCACTGAGCTGCATGGACCAACCCAGGCTCAATGCAAAGACACACAGAAAACAATTCAGCGCATATGCATATTTTTACACAACGCAATGGACAAGGTGATGTTGTGCATAAAGTTTGTTTAAATGCTTTGGTTAAGTTTCATTAAAGTAAAAAAAAAAAAAAATCAAAACACTTGTTACAATGCATTGCAGGACCCTATGAGTCTTTCTTTTGCAAGCTGCTTCTTTGGGACAAGTGTAGCACCCCTCACTGTTCCGTAAACGCACATTGTGTTAGTCTGCGCATGTTCATGTCTGTTTTCGGCCCATTCTGCTGTCAGCCCATTGACTTCAATTGGGTGCCCATGCACAACAAAGGCTGCAAAGTAGCTCATGCAGCAGGTTTTGCTGCAGACATATTGTGTTTTTACCACACGTTTGTGCGTGTTTAATGTGTGGGAAAAGACGTGAATTTTCCCGGCCGCATTTGGGGTGCCATTAACAAGTAATGGCACTGCAAGCGTGTTGCACGTTTTTAACGCGTTGTGTCAATGCGCGTCAATGTCATACATTCACGCAATACGTAGGTGTGAACGGGGACTAAAGCTGAACTCCAGGCAGATGTAAAAGAAACAAATCTTACAGATTGTCATCCTGAGTGAAAAAGTCTGTCTCCTGTCAGCATGCTGCAGAGAAGGACCCTTGTTCTCTGTGGGGAAGCAGAGGTCTCTCTGCAGAGGTCTGGAACCCCCTCCACACCAGATTATGTGCATTTATTATGTTTTTCTAATTGTGAGCTGTAGCATGACCTACAATGAATGAGTCAGGTCCTTACAGCTGAGGGACAGTTTTTTTGCTGGATGGCTTTACCCCGAGTTTATTGGCTAGTTTGCCTCCACAACACACTGAAGATATTGCCGCAGGCCAATATTTCCTGCCCCAGATTGGGCATAAAAAAGACAGAAAGCATATATAGGTACAGTATGTAGATCTTCACTTTCATATTTACAAATCAGTTTTCTGTTTTGCTTGGAGCCCCCATTTAAAAACAGCACAATCACAGCTCTGTGATCTCTAATTACTATTGGTGCATCTACACTGGACAATGGAGGTCCGTGCTGGGACAAAGTCTTTTAGCAGTCAATGAAAAAAGGCCAAGGGACACCCTTCCCCATGAACGGTGAGCAACCCTAGTTGCAGGTTCTCTCCCCCTTCCCTGCCTGATGCACCCAAGGCAGCCACCTCTCTTGCCTACCAGTTGGCCCAGCCTTGATGGAGGTACAACCACTTCCAGGTCCTCCAGGCTGAATGGGAACAGAGTAGCCACCCTCACCATGCTATGGTGCAGAATCTGTATGCACCTGATTCCTCATTCACGGGTGTCACAGGATGCCCCCACAGTGCTCCTAAGTGACAACAGTAGCACATGTGCATTGTTCCTCTTCTTGTTCCCTTGCAGCAAGTTTTTACTCCTGTCAGCTGGATTTTGAGACATCTAAGGGCCCTGTCTCATGAGATTATGGCCCTTTGGCTGTGTGTGAGAATTGTATGTCATCAAGGGGCATAACTACAGATCACAGGGCCAAATGGCATAATTTTGATGCAAACTCTGTCAGTGGTTTTAATCTAAAGGAAGACTGGGTTAATTTCAAGGTTAGTTTCAGTGCTGGCTGGGATGCCAAGATTCTCTCAGATCTGAGAGAAATAAATCTATACTGCTAGACACTCAACTCATTCTCCTTACTTGCGCAGCCCAAAAAGGGGACCTTTGACTGGTGATAACAATTCTGAAGTCTTATCCTGTGTGTCTGACATCAGTTGTTATTGATTGGACATGTCACGGGGTACAGGATCAGTGTCAACAGCAACCCCTGCAATTCTTAATAACACAGCACTGGATTTGTGTTATCTTTGCATGTGCATGGGCAGCTTTTCTACGTTTAATTTGCATCAAGAGCCTCCCTTATGGGATATTTGCTACCTCCAGGCCCTATAACAGCCATGGGGCCCCTTCCACTCCCAGGCCCCATAGCAGCCACGTGGGCACCATGTTTCTCTAACATTATAGACAAAACAAATACCATAGTTTGAGGATATATGTGGATATATTTTTTGCACCTTCCAGCAAATTCTCCTTCTGGCGAATAAAATCCCATTTCTCTTTCATCAGCTCCTCTACTTGTTCCCGGTTGACGATCTCTTTCTTAGCCAGTTCCCGTTCCTGGGCTTTGGCCTCGCTCAGGAGTTCCTTGACGTGTCCCGTCTGCTCGGCTTTTAGACGTTCATTCTGGATGCAAAAGCACAACTGATTTAATTACGGCGAATTGGAGAGATAGTGACAGCACATAGGAGGGAAATACAGGGCCGTCTTTAACGCGGGGCAAAGGGGGCAGTTGCCCTGGGCCCAGTCATGGTTGTGGGGCCCAAAGCAGCTGCCCCTTGAGCCCGCAGAAACTTGCCGATCGGATCGCATAGTAAAATACGTTATGGCAGCAGCCGTAATGCCATAACGTATTTTCCTATGCGATCTGAACAGGTGTAGCTCCTCCCCCGCCCGCGTAGCGTGACATGTAAGTGTCACACGGGCTTCACTGGAGGACGTGAGGCCGTGCGTACGGGTGCCTCACACACGCCCAGGGGAGTCACACATCCGGAAAGAGAACATAAAAAATGCAGAAGCGCACTACCAAGTAGTGACTGAGCAGGAGAAAATAATCAAATGAGACTTACCAGGGTGTGGTCTGGATAAAGGGTTGCTGGTGGTGGTGGGCAGGCTAATGTGTAAATCGTTGGTGCTGGAAAGACTAAGATGTCAAAAGGGGAACTGGGTCCGACGTTTAATGTGGCTGGGATCTGAGGGGGCGGCTCGGGTTTGGGAGAAAAAAATTTTTTGGCTGTTTAAAACGTGCTAGCTGCTGGTGGATGTGTACCTGAGATCTGTGTTTGTGTGTGTGTGCGTGGGAGCTGCGGTGAACAGTTGAAGCCGTCAGGCCGGGATTGTCCGGGGGAAACCACTAGTGCGGAAGCTAGCTTGGAGGTGGATGTTGAGGTCAGGTTGGGACTACCCCGCTCGAGGGCACGAGCGGCACGCCCGAAGCAGCGAGCGGTGCGTCCGTGGGGTACAACGGGTGGGAACGAGTGGCGGAGGTGGTGGGTGAAGGAGTTGAAAACTGGCTACGCGTTTCGAAGAGCGGGTCTTCTTTTATATATATTTTGGTCTGATTTTCCATTGCCTTCCCATCTAATAAGAATTATTTTCACTGATCACATACACAATATTTTATATATCTATTCATCTGTTTTTCACGTATTTATTTTATAACCACTATTTATTTAAATTAATTTCACAAGGCACCCATTAGAGGTGAATTTATGTCACATAATTTGTATATCAAGGCTTAGCGCAACATACTAGCTACTCATTTACACGTGTTTTCACCACACATTGTTGCAGCTGGCAATCTATCATACACTGTTTTCTATTCCTAGCGCAACATGATCTATGTGTGATGTTTTTTTTTCTTTCTTGGTGTTGGGGAGGTGAGAGAAATTCCTGGGGGGGGGGGGGCAAGAAAATGTTTGCCCAGGGTCCGATAAGTATTAAATAAGGGCCTGGGGAAATAAAATAGACGGCATAACACAATGGACCTCATTTATAGACATGTCCTAAAGCCAGCCTATCCAAGGTGTCATCACCATCATCTTACCATCCACCAACTAAGCCCTAGTGCATCCAAAAACTAAACAAGTATAACGTGATTTGCTTTAGATATATTCATATGCTCTCTTCTGGCTTGGTAAATATACATTTAAAAGAGGAGGAGCTGTTCCGTAGTCATAAAATAATTTCTGTCCTAGGGTGACAACGTTACTCCTTCATAGATACACAGTACGGTGAGTGTTGTCCCCCTAGGACCAATTTCTCTCTCTCTCTCACTCCTCTCTCTCCTCTCTCTTATATATATATATATTAGGGCTGGTAATGATTAAAATTTTGGTGTTCGATTAATCAAAATTTTTTTTAATCGATTCATTTCGATTAGTTATAACGCACATACAGATCCAACTACATGAGATCAAACTACCCAGTCGCAAATGTGACTGATGCAGCCCTGGTAGTTTCACCAGTGCCGGTATCTGCGTTTAGTATTAGGTCATTTTCACGAGTACGAGTGCTTGTGAAAATGCCCAGTATTGGCACAGGTGCATCCCTACTTAATATAATGTATTACTGGGACTTGCAGTCCTGCATAGTTGGTGGCATTCAGCATTGCTGTATAATCATTATACATCAATGCAGAACACCACCAGCTATACAGGGCTACAAGTCTAAGCAATACATTATAATATAAATTAGAATACCCCCAGTTTAACCCCCCCCCTCGCGCCCCCCACCAGAACTCCTCGGCTAACGAAGGGAAGGAGGAGTCCGGTGACGTCATGGACATCGACGTCTCCGGACTCCTCCCCCCTTCCCTTCGTTAGCCGATGGAGCCACTTGGGGAAGGGGGAGGAGCCCGGTGACGTTGATGTCCGTGACGTCACCGGATCTCCGACGGAACTCTCGGAAGACCCGGAAGCCGGCGGAGAGGTGAGTACCGATCAAAAGAATTTTGATCGAACACAATTTTTTACGATTAATCGATGGATTAATCGTTAATTTCCGCACCCCTAATATATATAATCTTCCTCTGACCAGAAGTTCCGGTATCAGGGGAGGTATCGGAGCATTTGGCCGAGTACGAGTACTCACCCAAATACTTAGTATTGGCGCCGATACCGATACTAGTATCAGAATCGGTGCATCCCTAGCGAAGACACTAATGAAGACTGCCGTGCTACAAAGGAAGAGAGATAGAAGACATGGGAGAGGTAAGTATAATCCTGCTTTTGCAGGTGAATTTAATTTATTTTGAGAGCAGACAGGGTTAAAGTGTATCTAAACTTATTTACTATATGGTAGCTTACCAGTTCTTAGATGTGGTGGCTTCATTAGTTTACTTTTTATTACACTTCCTGTCCTAGGGTGACAACACTGGTTTTGTATTGTGAACCAGTGTGCTGCGCTTGATCACTCACAATTGATCACTTCGATAGATATTGCTGCAGCTGGATTATAATCATTTGGATCATATTTTTTGATATTATTATATCTTTTTCTATTTTTTCTGTATTTTGGTTTCTGATTTTTTCATATATCCTAGCGCAACTACCTTGGTCACCAACACTGGTTTTGTAGTCTTAACATAACTTCATGTTAGCAATATCTCAGAGGGATTAAAGTGGTTCCACATAAATTACATGTATATATTGTAGTCATATTTAACCCCCTTCAGTACTGTGATAGAGTCACTTTACCCCACCAAAGTTTTAAAAGTTTATTTTATAACAGTTTATAATCACACATACCCTTTCCTTGTATCTCGTATTCTTTTCTTCTATTTGTTTCATCTCAGCAAAGAGCTCTTCATTCATAGACTCCTTCATCTGAATTCTGCAGGAAGTTATATAACACAATCAATTAGTTTCCTGTTCATTGGGGATATTAGAGTTATTTTCTTACTTGGTTGTTGTGCCATGTTTTTGTGCTTATACTTTATATCAGTATACAAATGTGTAGGTGCGCCCTCTAGAGGCATAAATTGAATCTACAGTGCCCTGCTGCCAAATTTCCATTAGAGCTTGCATGTCTAGAATGAACTGTATTCAAATGATTCTCACTATTCACAGGAATTATTAGAGTTGTGCAAACATTGGTGTCCACATAAGGAATTTATTCTAAAACCCTCGTTTACAGTGCAGTGAAGGTTTCCATTGTGAATGTGGATCAGAAAAGGCTCAAAGACTGCTGTTCTCTCCATTATGAAATCAATGATTTGCCATTTGGCAGCAACTACTATTAAAAAGTGATATAATATGCTAAAAATGACTGGAGAGCTACTAAGTACTGACCAAGTAGTTTGCTGGAAAATTAAGGTAAGAGTCAATTTCCTGCACTGCTGCCCCCTGCCCTTCCCTGGTGACCAATATACAGCACTTTACCCCAGTAATACAGTGTTCTGACTATGTTGACAGTTCTGTTGCCTGTCCTTGAACTAGATATACTATGTGTTAATATGAGTGACAGTATTGTCATAGTCGACATAGAAAGGTGGCCCATAGAGAGACTGCTGAAGGGAAACCAATCAAAATTTGACTATGGTGTCCCCGTTGGAAGATGTCCTCTCCCTGTTTCAGTGACAACTCAATATTTTGGATTTTCACTTTCTTTCCATCCAGTGATAAGGGTTACCAGGAAAAAATGGATGGTGAATATGTCTAGCAGGTGGTCTAACTCTTCATCACTCCATCCAACACTAGAAAAGCAATGGCTTTAGGTACAATTTTAAGAACTTAAAGGCAAACCCCAGGAATTAAAAAAAACTTACTTTTTCAGTTGGGCTACCCCTGTACTGCAAGGGTTAAGTGCCTATTTTGGCCTAGGGGACTCAAATAAAGCAGATAAACCCACCGGATTATCAGTCCTACCAGGTGCTAGACCGGTCCCCGCAGTCTCTACTCTCCGGCAGTCTAAGGACCACTGACGTCATCATGTCTTATGCAGGTCCACGGACTTGCATTAGACATGAGGACACCAAGGGCAGCAGAGGAGGAGAGAGGTGAGTGCAGACAACTGTGGAACTGGGGATCTGCTTTATATGAGCGCCCAAGACAAAATAAGCACTTAACTCTTGCAGTGAGGGGGTGGACCCTCTGCAAGGATATGTTGTTTAAGATCTTCATGTCCATAAAAGGGTAAGTAAATCATTTTTTTTTAGATTTAGACAGAGAGATGAAAGATTAGACCCCCTTCCATGTTCTTTTTTCTGCTAGAGCAATTTGCCATGCATGTTTTTCCTGGTGACCCTTATCATTGGATGAAAGAAAGAGAAGATCCAAAATGTTGAGTTGTCACTGAAACTGGAAGTGGAAAGAGGACATCCTCCAACAAGAACACCATCGTTTGATTGTTTTTTTTTTCCCGGGACAGTTTTTTAAATTTCCATAGTTCTTCTTTAAAGTTAACAAAGGTTCACATGCTCTATGCACTACTCACATTATACAGACACTAAAGAATTATGTCAGTATTATGTCAACATGTTTGACAAGAAAAAATGTAACTTGGCCTGTCACACACCATAGGAGAAGAGGAAGAAGGATCTTTGCTAGTAGCCAGACTCTTACCATGAAGAGGAAGGAGGACCTTCGCTAGCAACCAGACTCTTACCATCAGGAGGAAGGAGGACCTTCGTTAGTAGTCAGACTCTTACCATGAAGAGGAAGGAGGACCTTCGCTAGTAACCAGACTCTTACCATGAAGAGGAAGGAGGACCTTCATTAGTAACAAGACTCTTACCATGAAGAGGAAGGAGGACCTTCGCTAGTAAGGAGACTCTTACCATGAAGAGGAAAGAGGACCTTTGCTAGTAACCAGACTCATTACTATGAAAAGGAAGGAGGACCTTCGCTAGTAACCAGACGCTTACCATGAAGAGGAAGGAGGACCTTCGCTAGTAACCAGACTCTTACCATAAAGAGGAAGGAGGACCTTCGCTAGTAACCAGACTCTTACCATGAAGATGAAGGAGGACCTTCGTCAGTAGCCAGACTCTTACCATAAAGAGGAAGGAGGACCTTCCCTAGTAGCCAGACTCTTACCATGAAGGGGAAGGAGGACCTTCATTAGTAACAAGACTCTTACCATGAAGAGGAAGTTTCGCTAGTAACCAGACTCTTACCATGAAGATGAAGGAGGACCTTCGCTAGTAACCAGACTCTTGCCATGAAGAGGAAGGAGGACCTTCACTAGTAAGGAGACTCTTACCATGAAGAAGAAAGAGGACCTTTGCTAGTAACCAGACTCATTACCATGAAAAGGAAGGAGGAACTTCACTAGTAACCAGACGCGTACCATGAAGATGAAGGAGGACCTGCACTAGTAACCAGACTCTTACCATGAAGCCAATTTGGATTTTGTAGAAGAGGATATATGGACACTACAGTCAAAAGTGGAATATTCCTTTAAATCTTTTAGCTTATAATGTGAACCATAAAAGCTCTCTGATTAGGGAGAGGAAATGTTCTTATTGAGATGAATAGACGGAAATAACTTACATGTTCAACCACCCCATGCTAGTAAAATTACGGTGCAGGGTTATGAACGCACAATGCACATATTGTTTCCATGTCAAGAGTATGCTGATCAACATTTACATGATCACTTCCTCATTTCACGAGGGATGGTATTGTAATAGGTCGCTCATTGTTTGATCTCTCATGAATAGATGGAACAAACCCAGTACCTGTCGCCCTTGTCATCTGTTTGTCGTTTGCTGCATCCACTGTCTGCTGACACCCTGACTTAACCTGACCCAACATTGGACATGTTTACATAAGATCCTAATAGGAATCAAGAACAAGAATTGGTGCTGAACCACATTTGCAGCACTGTAGGTTATACAATGTAAACTGATGACCATTAGAAATGGAACAACCCATCAAAATATTGTTTTCAATTTATTCTGTCAGTTTGCATGTTCTCCCTGTGCCTGCGTGGCTTCCTCCAGGTACTCCGGTTTCCTCCTATACTCCAAAGACATGCTGAAAGATTAATTGGCTCATATCTAAATTGGCCGAAGTTTTGGAACGAAACGAATTGCACATGTCTAATGCAGGGGCGTATCCACCGCACGCCTCGTTTGCCTTGGGCTGCACTTTCCAGGGGGGTGGAAAAAACGCTGCCCCCAAATCAGTGAGGCGAGCCAGGCCAGGCAAACTGAGGCAGCCTCAGCTGCCTATTAAGGCGAATTAGTCAGCTGCTCGTGGGGCCTCACGGCTGCCTAATTTGCCTGGGAGAGCTGCCTGGAAGAGGAGGTGGGGCCGGGGCCCAGTGATATGTGGTGCAGCCGGCAGAGATAGAGGAGAAGCAGCGGGCGGCTCCGGGCTGGCCATACCCTACGATCTGGCGGCGGGATGTCCCGGAGGCAGGCTGGGAAGCTGCAGGTAAGAGTAGCAGCACATGTGTGAATGGAGCCTTACTGTTCAATGGACGCACAGTTTCATGCTACAGGCTCAATTCACAAAGCTCTAACACCAGGATAAAGATTCAGTGAGCTCCTCACGGTGCTTCTCCATAGGACTGCAGGGTCTTATCAGATAATTTTCTCCTCTGCAACAGCTCTCTTATTTTACACCTGTATATATATAGCACTGACAATGTTACGCAGAGCTTTACATACTGCACATTCACATCAGTCCCTGCCCTCAAGGAGCTTACAATCTAAGGTCCCTATCTCACATGCACACATGGCCAGTTCAGACAGGAGCCAATCCTAACCTACCAGCATGTCTTTGCAGTGTGGGAGGAAACCAGAGTACCCGGGGGAAACCCACGCAAGCACAGGGAGAACATGCAAACTTCTGTCCTGTCCAAGATTCGAACTGGGAACCCCCATATGTCACGCGCATGCGCAATGACGTCACGGCGGGGTGTCACACGGTCTCCGCTCCGGGTGTCACACGGCCTCTGGACGCCCCTTCTAATATCTGCAGCTCACGAGACAATGACATGAACAACAAGTTGTAGATAGAAATAAAAGAACAAGGAATATGATCTACTTTAGTGTATTTGAGTCTAACAAGCACATTCCCCTAACCCTCCGCATTTGATCATGTAAATTGTAAAGGGTCACCCCACCCGGGGGACAAGATACTGACTGATAGGTCAGGAGAGCTTCGGCAAACGTCATTTTGGATTCCTGAGATTTTTTACTTCCTTTCTTTTTCTTTGATCCCTTCTTTCCCTTCTTCTCGGTCTTCCCCATGTCAGAGGTTGCCTGAAACAAGAAGGAGGACAAAAACAATAAAAACATATTCCTTTACATGCTACGTGTTATCAATATGGATGGAAAGCCCAACTGAACCCTCAGTTTAAAATAGCTATATACCAGGGACGTGCAGTGAGGTCAGTGGCAGGTGAGGCCAATGTGCAGAGGAGGAAGACAGGGAGCCTCCCTCTTCCTCACATGCTCATCACTGATGAGGCATCTAGATGGATGCTGCCAGTGTTTTTTTTTCTTTTTTTTGATTGGACGGCTTGGACCAATGGCGCTTTTCCATTGATCCAAACCACCAAAGAGCTCAAGCTTCTGACTCCAACTCAGAGGCTGTTGTAGCTCTGACCTGTACTGTGTTAGCTGCCAAAAGCCGGATGAAGCTCTGCCTGTAATTAACAGGCGGAGCTCTGTTAATTACAGGTTACACAGGGGGGAGGCTTTCCATGACAGGTTGCACAGCACAGTAAGCAGTGGTCTCTCTGCAGAGGTCCGACACTCCCCCTGCTGAGTCAGACCTATAGCTCTGAATTTAGCAAAGCTCATGCTCCCCCCATTGATTGTTGAGCTCTGGTTCTGACTTATCAGGGCTGTGACAGGGACCCGGAAGTGAGGGGAAATCTTTCCAATAGGGACAGATAGGGATATTTTTTAGTATGGTGGGATAGGATAAGAAACTCAGGTCAGGTTGTTACTGCTAACTGAGACACTGCTGGTTTTAACCTCATGTCCTGTCCCTTTGAGACGGGGACAAGGAATGTGGGGAATAAGTGTCACCCTGACAAGAGGACACCCTTCCCGCACTTTATCCAATGTAAAAAAAAAAGGTAAGTGGAGACGCATTTATAAGTTTAAATTGGAGCTTTACCCATATCTTTAAAATAACAACAAACACTCCTTTAGAAATGTTTAGTAATGACAATCTACAAACACTTACTTCTAGATAATTGCCGGTTTTGTATTCTCTGCATACCTTGTTTTTCTTTTCCTCCCCATTCTTCTCACAGTGGCCATGTTTACTAAGGGCAGATTAATCCATCCCCCTTTACTTCCTGGATTTCTGGCACATGCGACTAGGACATGTGACCATGCACATCATCTCAGGAAAGGAAAATGCCTTTCCCTGAGATCTTGTGAGATTACAGATGAGATTTCCCAGCAATGCTCTGCTGATGTAACCTTCCCAGGATGTAACGCTTGGGCACATTACATCGATAATGCCTAAGAGGACCAGGAAGTGAAAAAACAATAATTATAAGCAAAACAAAAATATGTTTGTATAACTAATGAATGTAAGATGATTTTATATCAGCATGGAAAGCTGGATTCTGATACGATTTTTAGAGAAAGGGGGTAAAGCAGGGGTGTAAATACAGATCATGGGGCCCCATAGCAAAATGTTGATGGGGCCCCCTCGGCGACCCCTCAAAATCTAAATCAAGTGACAGGTAGCAGGAGAGCTGTCTGCATACTTTCCTCCTATACATCTGATGTCAGTTCTTTTTGATTGGAAATGTCATAGGGAGTACAAGGTCAACAGCAACTTCTGCAATCCTTCATGGATCCCCCTTCTACCCCTAGGCCCCGTAGCAGCCGCATGGGCTGCTATGGCTATTGTTACACCCCTGGGGTAAAGGTCCACTTTAAAGTACTGTAGCACTAAAGCCCAAACTAATTTTCTTAGCTTTGGATAGAGTAAATCTGGGTACACACAGAGTGCATTTTGGCCTATTCAGCTGGAATTGGCCAACATTTACTCCTTTGGTGACCCTATTCCCCCATCATAAGTCGATCGATAGATCGACATTTGCTGCAGGAACATGCTGCAGCCAATCAGCTTCAAGTACCGATCGGATAATCTGACAGCGGGAGATTCGTCTATTAATGCTCTTAAGCATGGATTGAGGAATCTGTTTTTTTTTGTTCAACCCACAGGTTGAATTAAAATAAAATACAGTGTATACCCTACTTACGGAAGGGTTATAACCCCTGCCAGACTTTTTTCCCCATTGGTGAGAATTCCCTTCGCTTCCTGTCTAATCGGAAAAACAGGAAATGAGAGGAAAACCTTCCAAAAAAAGAGGGAAATCTCTGATGGTTAGCAGGGTCACCAGAACTAGTGTCCTCATTGGAAGATTTCCCTTCTATTCCTGTTCTGGTGACAACCCAAAATTTTGGATATTCTGTCACTTTTAGTGATAACATTCACCAGGACCAATCGAGAGGCTGAATCTCCCGAATGGGGACACAGCCAGCAATATAAATATGACCGGAGGTCTAATACCTCTCCAGTCTGTCCAAAACGAAGAAAAAGTTTGGGTTTGAGTTGCACGTTAGAGATCAGTCGACCCACATCTGATATTTGAGTTCAGTAGTTACTGGAGAGGAAAATGAAAAGCACAGTTCTGTTTCCGACCAGCAAAATTATGTTCGGTCAGATGAATAAACCCGACCTTACAAAATAGGAACGGGAACATTTTCAGGAGAAAAAATTGTTTCTTTGGCAGAAAGTTTCTATTTCTTTTTTTCCTTTGATTAACCTCTTAAGCGCCGGCTTTAATCACACGAAAGTATAAATCAGGGCAAACGCCGGCCCTCTAGCTGCGGTGAAACTACAAATCCCATGATGCATCTGCCTCTGGGAGTCTATGTCTATGGCTCTATGGGATTTGTAGTTCCACCACAGCTGGAGTGCCGGAGTTTGCCCACCCCTAGTCTAAATGAAAGCTTTTGCCATTTTGTATTTTCATCAGGTTTCCCATCTTTCCATATACGAGGCCCAGGACCTTGTTTATAATCTTCATCTTTTCTACCAGGAACAAGCAAGGTTAGAGGAAGATCTCAGCCATTGAAGGATAGAGCAGGGAAGGGTTAAAACCACTCTCAGCGTTTGTTTGTCATTTGTTTCTCATTAAGGAGATTTTCTTTGACTTCCTGTCCGATTGACTCAACAGGAAGTGAGAGGGTATCTTTCCAATGTGAGGGAAATCCCCTCTTAGTGTCCTCGTTGTCCTCGTTAGAAGATTTCCTGTTCTGGTGGCTACTCAAAATTTTAGATTTACTCTTAAACTTCATTCCTGGTGACGTTGGTGATGATCAGGACAAGTAGAGATGGTGAATCTTCCTTACAAGGATACAAACAGAAATAAGAACCTGCCAAACCAGCTGCTGAAGAGTTCTATGCCTCCTCACACACCGAACAAAACAATATCCAATTTCAAGCCATCACAGTCCTGATACATGTCCGCCCTAATGAATGGAGTGTTTGTATGAGCTCCCGAAACGCGTTAAAAAATTATAAACTCAAACCCATATTGAATAGATGTGTCATTGAAAATCAGAAACCTCAGTTCAGTAACTCTGTATAATAGAGCTAAACTAGGAGACACTGCGTGAGTCTGTTACACAGAGGAACAACACTGTTAGCACTTCCACCTTCCCTTTACAGAACTGAGGTTTCTGATTCACTTATTAACCATCCGTCCTTTGATGATCGAGCATTGAGAATTGCCATTTAATAGTTGGGTGTGTTGGTTGGTTTCTCTCCTCCGTGACCCCCCGGCATAGACACTTTCCTTGGTTGGCCCTTCTTTTATGGTGATACATGACTGAGCTATATACAAGTTTTACATGGATTGCTGGTACTGAGGAAGACCCTTTTGGGGTGAAACGCGTAGACCACTTACGAGGACCATGGAGCAGCTTCCACACCGCAGAAAAGGGCTTGTGGAAACAACGGAAGTTTTCTGCGGTTACAAATTCTGTGGACATATACATATATGTGTTATGTGTGTGTGTTTTATGCTGCCTTGGCCTTTTGTAACGTCCTTCATGAATTTAGCTCACATGGCGTTTTGATGGAATTTAATCATGTTATAGTTATCTGCATTTTATGTTAAATCAATAAATATCTAGGCGGTTATTCACGTAGGAGCCGAAGGATCCAGCCGTAGCTTCGGCTGGATCCTTCGGCTCTCTTCGGCCGTCGGAGTCCTTCGGTTCAGTGGAAGTGAAGGTCTGCTGTACGGGGTATTCACTATAGCTTGTACAGCAGCCGAAGGCGGCCGAGCCGAAGGCATATGCTTCAGCTCGACTGAGCCAAAGTGACAGCCGAAGCGGGGCGAGCGGCCTGCTGAAGTCCGGCCTTTCGCCTTGCAAATGACATCTGGGGACACTGAACTGTTAAGTAAACAACTGGGCGGAGCAGGTGTCGGCCAATAGGAAACAGATGGGCGGAGTTAGCTGTCACTGCTTGCTCCACCCCTTTGTTTGTTTCTTTGTTGTAAAATAATCTTTATATATTTTTTAATGTAACTAATTATTTAAATTTTTTAACCAGTTGCCATCTACCTGTTGAAAAAAAAACGGACGGACGGACGGCACAGCTGCATTGGCGGGTTGCCGTCTCCAGGCAGCATTTTTTTTCTGCTGCTCACGCGCGTGCTAGGGGGCAGAAAAAACCCGTGCAATGCATAGAGCCGTTACCGGCTGTTTAATATATATATATATATATATAAAAAAAGAATATTAAAAAAGTTTTTAAAAAAACCCCAAAATGTTTAAGTCTCCCACCCCCACGTTTACGCACATATAAACGTAAACATGAGTCCGGTGCACCATCGCGCGGAAACGACAATTGCGCTACGCACGTTACATATCGCCGCGAATGTCGCAGTGAGAGCAATCATTTTAGGGCCATCAATCACTGATAACACTAAACTGATGAGTGGTAACAGCTTTCAAAAGCGTCGCCTATGGCCAATTTTGGCTACTATCGGTTTTTTAGGTTTTTTTTAGGCACGCAATTTTAAGGCTTGACATGTTTGGTGTCTTTTTACCCGGCGTGACCCCGTCTTTTATATTTTAGCAAGAAATTGGGTAATAATAAATGTTTTATCATTTAATATAGGGGGAACAATTTAGTTTTTTTAAATTTCAGTAATTTTTCCTTAATATAGTAAAAAATAAAAACCCCAGTGGTGAATAAATACCACCAAAAGAAA